CTAAAGGCTTGGTAGTACACAAAAATAATCAACTAATTTAATTCATGCAAGAACTGTTAACTGCTAAGTAAACTATTTCTAATATCTCTTATATACCTGCTATAAAATAGGATATCTTTAATCTCCATTGTCTCAAGAAGGCAAATAGGTTTTTAACCACAAGGATTATACATTGAATTAGCTAAATTGCTTTTACTTGCTAATAAAAGGCTTTACAATATTATATTCTGGAATAGTTGTCTTTAAATGCATTAAAACATTATGGATTTGAAGTTTTTTGTTGAAGGAACTGTACCATATTAGAACAGACAAAATAATTCCCCAGACACACTGCTCTATGAATAACTTCCTTTAAGAAAAAAAGGCATGATGCAGCCCATATTTGTGTATGTGTGTGCACACATTTATTTTAGACCTTGAGTTAAAGATATCTAGGGAAAAAAAAAAAAAAAAAAAAAAAAAAAAAAAAAAAAAAGTCTTAATTTCTAAAATATAAGATTACAAATATCAGGTTTGATTTTTTTAATGGTGAATTGGCAAAAAAAAACTGATATTAATGATAATAATGATAATAATAATAATTAAAATTATAATAACATAAAAATAATAATAATTAGAATAATAGAATTTCTCCAGTCAATGTAGAAAATGTGAAAAAAAAACAAACATCAGCTTTTCATTCACATACTTTGTGACAACACTTTGCTAAGTAGCTTAGATACTATCTCTGGACAAGTGTACTCATGCTGCTGGCAGATATTTATGGATGCAATATTTAGAATGTCTGAGAAGCCCATTATATAGACATAAAAGAAACACATCCTACAAAACACTTCTGTAACTGAATTTCAAGAGTAAAATAGATAAAACCATTCTTATTAGAACTTTCATATCCCTCAGCTGAGCTTATAGGCTTGAAAATAGTGCTAGGCTAATACTGCACTTCATCTTTTGAGTCAAAACAATTCAGTACCTGACCCAATAGGACTGTAAAAAACAAATGCTATACCTTGGTAATTAGAGTGCAATCATGTGTAGTCTTAAAGTTTTCCGTTGTAAAAGGGCCTAGGAGGAGTTTCCTGAAACAGTGTCTGTACATGTGCATTCTCATCTATCCAGAAAACAATAGCTGGACAAGAAGAAGCTTCTGAAGGCTTTATGTTTCTTAATATCTATCTGGCCTCCCTTCAAAAGCTCTTGGATGTTTCCCATGTCATTGCCCAACATTACTGCTTCAGAAGAGTTAGATGTACATTTTAGTCCAGACCATTGCCTGTGTACTGTGTTTCTCAGACCAACCCAAGTATCCTGAATCTGGCAATTTTTGAAACCTGATAATCAACACTGTATTTTGTGTATTTGCTTTAAAGTGATACCAGCTAGGTTCAAGAGATTGGATGAAAATTTCAAATTTCAGTAGCAATGAGAAAAAGCAATCAAATATGTTCAGTTCCTCCTGCTGGCAAAGCTTAGAAATTTGTTTCTTATGTATCTTGGCAGTACAGTAAAAAGAAAGAAATAAAAATCATTTGAGATCTATTTAATACTTTATTTAGAATTCAGTATTTTTAATGTAACTTTGCAGATTTTTGCAATCATGGCTTTTGAATGCTTCAGTTTTGTAGTTATTAAAATATTATTTTCCAGTTTCTTGAGGAGATCAGCCCCTCTCACAACTTTCCTTGTTTACTAGACAGAAAGGCATGATTTTTGATTCCTACTGTCATGTCACAGAAGTCACTGTCCTTTGTTTAGAGGGTTCTCTGAAACTGCTGCTTTATGATTGCCTTCAGTCAGCCTAAGATTGAGGCTGTGTTAGTTAAGAGCAGATCATGAGGCACAGCCACATTCATGCATCACAAAATTAAATCAGCCATCTATTTAATCTGAAAACCACCCGTTTCATCTACTCTGTTCATACCACAGCCATTGAACTCTTCCCTAAAACTGAGATTCAATTGAGAAAAGACTGAAAACAGAAGATATATATCACAAACAATGCACAAGAAAGCTAAAGACTGATCACCATAGAGTGGTAAAAAAGTAACTATTACATTTTATGTTATTTATTTTAAAGAAAGATATGTTTCAGAGATTATAAATTATTAGTTTATGCATGCTTAACTTTTCTTGTATAGGACATTTTTGTTTTTATAGAGGATAGCTATTAGAAAAATATACCAAATCAAATTAAATCTCAGTTATGTTTAATCCTACATTAGAAATCATTCAGAGTTTTATGCAATTAGTCTGCATGAAAAATATCCAATATCTGAGGAATATCTGAAATAATTAAGTATCAAATTTCTGAGAAATTAGTACAGTTATTCCTCTATAAACATCAGTAATGGACTAGGTAGGAAAAATGTTCTCCTCTATGGAGACAAAGAATACATTTCTCAGATACTGCCTTTTGGAAAATAAAACAGTCCACATCAAAGTAATTTATTTAAGCCATTGTGACAATCTGAGTTAATGGTCTTCAAAACAACACTTTTAGACATGAGGCAATTCTGAACTTCAGGGGAAAAAAGAAGAAGAAAAAAAAAGCCTTGTCTGAGCTTACAAATTTTTTCATATTGTGAGGGCCTCCTCTGTCTTGAAGTCCATTTATTGCCCATTGTTACTGCAAATACAGGACAAGGGGAAATGGCCTCAAGTTGCACCAGGGGAGGCTTAGGTTGGATATCAGGAAAAACTTGTTTACAGAAAGAGTTATTAAGCACTGGAATAGGCTTGGGGAGGTGGCTGAGTCACCATCTCTGAACTGTGTTTAAAAACCGTTTGGATGTGGTGTTCAGGGACATGATTTAGCGGAGGGTTTTTAAAGTTAGGGTAGTATGGTTAGGTTGCAGTTGAACTTGATGATCTTTAAGGTCTTTTCCAACCTGACCAATTCTATGATTCTATGATTCTAAATACCACAATGTTTTCACAGGCAATACACAACTAGGGCCAACGTTCACATCCTGAGAGCCTCATTGATATAATGAGGGAAACAAAAAAAATATGCCTGCCTACCTATTTGTTTTTTGCTTTGCAGGGTTAAAGAAAGTTTGCAATTCCACAGCAGCGAGGTTAGCTGGAAGTAGCAATAGCTAAAAGTAAAATGAAATTTCAAGAAAATAAAGATTCCCCCAGACAACTAAAACATCCCTTTACATCTCTGTTTATCTGACTTAATCACGAGGATTTGGTGTGCTTTCTAACATCTTAATGCTTGCTTTTCACCAGTGACCAGTAACATGAAATGCCAGCACTGGCTTTTGTATCTTTGACCATCCTACAGTCAGGGATATTGTATCCTCATCTAGTTAGGACTTCCTCTCATTCTGAATGACACTCCTCTCATAGATCCCTGAACACCTCTATCAAATGCTAGGGATCAGTTTAACAAGCTACCCTGTCACACTTTAAGAGCTGCCTCCCTCACTGACACATAATAGCTGACCCTGCATGAATTCAGCGTGCTGAAAGTAAATGGGTTATTTCAAGCCATTTTTAGCCAGAGTACCTGGCTAATCTGTTTGCTGTGACTTGCAAGGAGCAAGCACACAGTCAGAGGGTTATTTCCACTAGACAGGTAGAGCACCCTAGGAGATCCACTGCCATCACCCTGAGTATCTAAATCACCTGCAAAATGAAACATAGATGCTTGCTTGTGTTTCTGAAAATTCTAGCATTTTCTCTCAGACGACAGTCACATTACTTTATAATACTTTTTAAAACTCTTCATGCTTTTAAAATGAATACACAGAAAAAATTACCTTGGCAACTTATTTTTTTTCCTGTTCTCTACAAAATAATTATCTGAAGACCATCTAGGGATTTTTTTCCTCATATATTACTTGCAGTAAATTTTAGAACAAGTTCCATTCTGCCTTGTTACTTCAGATCAACAGGTAATTTGGAATCTAAGCTGTTATAATGGAACTACAGAGCTAGTAGGTTTTTAGAAAGAGGGATGTTCTTCACTTGAGAGCATACTGTGTCACTAGTCTAATTCTACAACGATTTCATAAAAAAAAATTAAAGGGTATGACTCTGTTGGAACCATATTTAAGCAAAGCTCTTAAGTTCATTAAGCATTTAAATCATTGAAACAAAATGTGCTTAAATACTTAGCTGTTTCAAATTATGATTATTGTAGTAATTAGTGCATGCTCAGTTATATCTTGTGAATGCATGCTTTTAGTGCCTACTCAATAAATAAACTGATTAATAACATTTGCAGGAAGAAAACAGAATTAGCTTTGGAGTAGTGGAAATACTTTTTACAGTTAAAAAAAAAAAAATCCCTCTCCATGTATCAACATTGGTATAACTATTGGTATGGGTATGTTATTACATGTGTATCCCTCTATATGTTTAACAGTACTTGACAGAAAATCTGATGTATGAGAGCATATGGTAATTCCTCGAGTGATTTCTTCTGGCCATTTGTTGGAACATTCTGAGGAAATATGCCAAACAGAAAACAGGCAGACTTCAAAACCAATGTCTATTCTGACATTTTGGTATCCTGGTTTGGGAATCAAGGCGTCCCTTGGGAAGGGATCATGAACTGGCACTCTAATTTAACTGTTTTTCATTCAGTTCTTTCAGACTCTTTTCCAGGATGAAATCCAGGAGCATGAGATCCCAAATTTGATATAAGGATCAGACACTTTGGGATGGATGGAGCATGAATTTTCAGTGGCTCTTGAGTACTTAACAGGTTGAAAACACCTCTTTTCATGCTGAAATCTTCCCTGTGTCTGTGGAATTCCGAGACTATTATTAACTCCTGGAACTACTTGTTTGACATTATGAATTTGTAGAGGAAAGAAAGGGAAATGAATTTCAATAGTATTGAAATTTAAGTTGTTCTTACTTAAAGTCCTCTTTCAAAAATTTTTCCAAAATTTCTCATATAACTGGATATATAGTATACTGATTTTCCAGTAACACCACAAAAGCATGAATCATGTTTTATTTTTTGTCTTTATTTTTTTCCTGAGCACTCATGTATAAGGTAAACACCATAAATTAGTTTACTGATTATTTAAACTCTTTTCCTTATTTAACCACTGATATCCACAATTCTGAAGTATATGTGCCTTTGCTTTAAGTCACATACTTTGTTGAAGTCTCATTACTGTATTTTCTTAAATTATGGCTCTTCAGAGACAAATTAGGAATCAAGAACTTAAATTCGCTTAGAAGCAGGCCATTTCAAATATGAATTTTGGACTTACCATTTAATAGTGGACCATATTGCCTTCTTTATTTAGATCTGATCCCTAATAATTTCAACTAGACAATATATAAAATGCTGTGGCAGGTCAGACTACTGTATCATATAAAAACTTGCAAGCCTATACATGTTTGAGGTGTTTCAGTAAGAAATTTTTAAGAATTTCAGTAAGATTTATGGATGGTATCCATTTTCTCAGTGTATGACAGTGTACTTTCTAAAATAGGAAAAGACTGATATATTGTTGGAAAGATGTTGAAATCTCAATTGTGTACAATACGTCATGCTTAGAAACTAGATTTATTTGAAAATGTATTGGTCTAATTAATCTCAAGTAGGAAAAAATCACAATCAAGTAACAGCAATTGCAAAAAAGACACAGTTATGTTATCATCTTGATGATCTTCCATAGTATATTTTCACACAGGTATGATTTTAAAGTTAAATAAGATAACTATAACACACAGTTACCTATAAACTAAATACACATTGTTTTCCTCTGCTGCATCAGTAATATGAACTTCTCTTGAGTATGTATGGTCTTCTAGCTTTGTTCACATGTAGTTGCCGTTTCAGAATATAGGGATTTTTTCTTTTCATTATTTCCTTTTCTTGGCTTGAATTTTCTAGATCAAAAGTGTCTTGCTGAAGTAACTGTAGGATGTAAGAAAAGACAGGATATTATCATGGCTTTTCTTTCTACTGAAAATCATCAATTCCACAAGACTTCTATTTGCCCCAAACTCAGACATCTCCCGAAGATCAGGGTACAGAGAAGTGATATTTAAATTCCACTGAAACTAGTAAGACCATTGGATTTAGCTATAAGAAAGCTGGTGTGTCACTCTGGAGCTAAATATGACTTAAAGTTTCCTTATCACTGTCACTCAGTAATGGTTAATTTATCCTAAAAACCTCCTAAAACACCCACTCCTTGCTAATTTCAGATTTTGAGGAATATTTTTATCACAGAATTTCTACATTAAAAATCAAAATGTGTAAAAAGAAAGGAAATAAAGTACATGAAAACCAATTTTTTCAATTAAAATATGTTATTTAACTGCATTTGAGTTTTATTTATAGTTTTTAAAGTATTTTCTTCAGATTTATATTTGCTTTATCTATTAAGATTTCATCCGTTCTTTTACCATGCTCTTCCATGGCCAGGCTGAAAGGCATTAAGCTAGAAACATTTTAGACTCACCTCAGTATTTTCCTAAGCAATCAAATTCTGTTAGTCACTTAATTACTTAATAAATGAGTGCTCATCTAAATCCTGTTGATATAAATGGAAAAAACCTCATGATTTCAACAGAGTTTGGAGTCAATCCTGGATGAGTAAGACCGCAAGAACTTGTTTCATTATATAAAGTGTTTATTTCAAGTCTTCTTCAGTTCTTCTCCCTCTAGCTCTATTCTTTCTCCCCCTGTTGCGCCTCAGAAAATTTTGCACTGGATAACCATGCTCCTAGGTTGATACAGAAGCATCCTTTTTAAATTTCACATGCAGTATAATTAGAAGTGGAGCTTTGCAACCACCACAAAAGGTGGTACAACTATAAAATAAGGAGCCATTATTAAGCCAGGCTATGGCATGTGATTGATTCCACAGTAGATCCTTTTCAATAATAAATGTACCAGTGAAGAATCCTCTGAAAACTCTGGTTCTCAAAGATGCAGTCTTTTTTATGCGTCATCCTAGATGGTACAGTGGACTGAGAACCCTAAGCAAACACATAGCTCTGCTTCAGCAGGCAAAAGGGGATCAGGACTCAGTCAAATTGCCCATGAACTGTGATAACTGAGGAATCTCGGTTTAGTGGAAAGCGGGTTCTGATATTTAGACATATTTGTTTTGTTGGTTTTTTTTTACAGCATGAGTAGATTCTGTCCAGTGTGTTTACATGAATGTTACAATAAGGTACATATCACAGATGGATCACAAAACCATTACTATTTAGGAGTAGCAACCCTAAGGTTAGGAGGGACGGAAAATCAGGATTTCCCTTGCTATTAGTTTCTTAGCAATTATAAAAAGTTCAGAGTACCTGGTAAAATTACAGGTATACATGGGCATGTATGTATTTTGAATCCTGTTTGTCTTAGTGCCCTTCAGAAACTGTGTAAATTTACTTATGCTTGAATAAATCTGCAGTAATTTCATGTCTGTTAAGCACATATTAATTTTGTGCTCTGGCTCATTTTCATATGTTTATTTCATTCCTTGGTATAGTTACAAAGAGTGGAGAAATTATGTAGTTAAGGATATTTCACATTTGTTCACGTGTCTTTATCCAAAACAGATATTCACCTCTTCAGAAACTATAGTAAGTCACAACTCTTTCACTAAGTGGTATATTATCAGTATTAAATATTAGAAAATAGCAAAAACATAGGATAGTTTAGACAATGTGATGGGGTGATTTAAGCCAAGAGCACCTAAGATCTGGAGGAACACTTGGGATATGAAGTATAAAAGACCATTGTGACGACAAACAGAGCTTGAAAGTGTAACAGTCATTGAAACATGCACTTGTGACGCTTCATTTTACCTCCCAGTGCTGAAAGGCTCTGCTGTGGCAAACTTTTTGGAGTTGATACACTGTCAGCATTGCTTCCAAGCTGAAGCCATCCAGGGAAGCAGGGAACTGTCTTCCAGAAATGAGATCCTCATCATCTACCTCTACCGTTTCCCCCACCTGGTTGTTCATGTTGTTGATAAGATTGCAGACATTTAGCAGGGTCACTTTCCAGTAAGAAAGTTTTGCTCTGTTCATCTGAAAATATAAATGCATGGTACGTAATGTAATGCAACTTTTGTTTTGAGTGGTAATGTACGACATTTAAACATTTTGGAAGGAAGAAGCTTGTTTGTTTGAAGTTCTTTTCATCTGTCAAGCTTTAAGACAATAATTAGAGCATGAAATTAGGACAACTCCTTTATTAAAAACACCAAGACTGTTTCCCCACTTCTTTACCCCCCAAGTAGATATACATGATGGAAAAATAAACTGTTACCAAACCAGAAAGGTAGCATTTCATAGTCATTCTGCACAGGTGCAAACAAAAACACAAATGGAAATTAATATAATATAAATTCATAGGTGTAAATCAGGACAGTGAGTCAGACCCAGTGGATAAATTTCCAGTGCCAGATTCCAAGCTAGATGCCTGTGGTTAACTAGATGCTCCTCCCCAGTTCAGAACAAATAGCAGTCATTTCAAAATTCCTAAAGAAATGGAACAGAGTCCCTGCTTCAGGGCAAGTTGTCTGGTGAAGCTGGAGCCAGTGTTATGGAATCTGTAAGCCCCAGGGATTTTGGATACTGGAAAGTCATGAGTGTTAAGTGATGTGAATAGGACTAGGGGCTTGGATGAAGATGGAGTATAGGTGAAACAGAGTTGTGCAAAAGACGAACTTGGTGGCTAGACTGAAATGCCTCATGAGATCAGCTGTCTTTGGGAGGTCCATAATGGAAAAATTCAGAGATGTTACAGGAAGACAGAAATAAAGAGGGAAATGTCACCATAATTTGATCCAATAGTTTACATTATTTCAGAGCAATTTGATTTTTAAAACCTTTAGAAAATGATAACAAGAATTTTTACATTTTAATGGCACTATTTTAAGACAGTTATTGAAGTAGTTTTTTTTTTAATTATCATTAGAAATACCTAATTTCTATCTCAATCACTGTTTGCCTTCTCTGTTGTCTTTGCCAATTCCCTGGTTATTATCTATTTATTACCCTAGTCATTATTTCTTCTAAATTGTATCCCTCTTAGTGCTGAATATAGAGATTAGTTTCATTCAAGTAGAACCAGTGACACAGCAATCTCCAATCAAAAGTCAAATAGCAAATTCCTGTTTATTAATGGCAATTAATGCCCTTGAGGCATATATTAGGATGCTGCTCTACCTATGAACTGAAATGTTGTTGTTTCTTTGTCCTGCGTGTGTTAAGTTAAATACAGATATTACATTAGTACAGATATTGCCTCTTACCAACAGCATTAAATAAGTGTGTGGATGCAGTTTTTACCTAGCTGAACATTGAGTAATCACACAACCTGCTGTTTGTTTAAGGAAATTTTCTAACAATGAGGTATTATATGCAAGATTTCTGGATATTTGCAACTGTTTTTTAAACTAAAAGAAAGAAAATGTAGATAAGTGAAGAAGAAACAAGAAAAGCTCTCATCACTAATAACAGTAGTTACAAGAAATTGCCTTCTTACCGTAATCATTAGTTCAGTATGCAACTAGTACATGCATGAATTTCAAAATGAGAGTAATTTAGCCTTTTTAGTAAAACTGCTATGTTCTTAGATTTCTATTAGGGCTTGGATAACAAACAGTATTTTGTTCTGAGAAGAAACTAATCTCAAACCTTATTCAGAAGGTTCTACATTTTTCAATTTGGGCTCATGTGCTGTCTCATCTGGGCTCTCCACTCAGGCATCCCATCAGTCTAATTACTTGAAAAGTTGTGGCAGGTTCAAAACAAAATTGACATCTGTACCGAATGCCTGATTTAATTAGCAAAAGTTAATTTAGCAAAAAAGCAACTGTTCACTGAAGTTTCAAAATCTTTACTCTGTTTTAAAGTATTTGTGAAATGCAAACACAGAGCTTTTCTTGCCAAATGAGGAGGCTTTTCCAATACAATTCTTTCTCCTTGTATATGAAAGAAATATGAACTAGAACATCCCCAGCTAAACTGCAATGAAGAATAAAATCCAGGAGCAGTACTGTGTGAGAAAGTGAGAATTCAGAGTTGAAAACAAGACTACGCTGATGGATATGACTGGAAAAGAAAAGGACTAGAGAAATGTATTATGCTTTCCCGCTTAACTTTTAGAATCTTTTTGATCTAAAGTTATTATTTTATGTAACCTTGATGTATGCCTTCTTTTTTTAAGGAACATTTCTCTCTATATTAGCAAAATACCTAAATTGCAGTCTCCATTATGTGCAATTGGTCTTGGCTGCTACTTATGAGGTTAGGGAAAAAATCTTACAGTGCTGTATGCAAGCATACTTTGTTAGTCAAGGGAGTCTAATTCTCATTAATAACATGCATCACTTCAAAGTATTTTCACTTGGATACGCATGCTTCTGACTTACACTGTTGCCAGCTCCCAGAATAAGACCATGAAGCATTAAGAACTTCAGTCAAGAGTGAAATAATTTTTTAACTGAACATGGACCTCTCTAGATCATGTCCAGTTTCTGAACAGTGCAGGCATGTTACTTTCTTATAATCTACTTCTCTATTACAGCAAGTATTACAATCACACAGCTTTGTTTTATAGGTTATGGAAAATCACTGAAGAGGGCATGTTAAAAAAGTAAATAAACAAAAAAAAAAAAACAAAACAAACAAACAAACAAAAAACATGAAAACACAGTTTCAGATGACTGTAACACAAATGTTCAGGTAGAAATTCAATATGTGAAATATTTTTCACAGATGTCTAAGCAACACCAACTACAGTTGCTCAACGTATGTTTTGGAAAAACACCTACATGAGAGATCAAAGAAATTGTATCTGCCAAGAAGGAATAAACTGTTTTGAAGATTAACTTGAAAAAATCTGGGAGGTACCTGGTGGAACAAAAGAGACTGCCATATGAATCACAGTTAAAAATTATTAATGATGAAGAATTCATGAAATGAATATGATATATGTATTTCCACTGTTAAACATGCTCCTGAAATATGACTCAGATATATGGTTTCCCATACCTTTTTAAATACTGAAAGTGAACTCAAAATTGTCTAAGAAACTGAAACAAGCTTGGGAATATTTCCCTCTTAGACAGTACCTTTTCCTGTGAAAACTACAGAGAATCTCAAGTGATAATATACATGCTTTTTTTCTTTCAATTTATGGTTGAATGATGCTCCAGGACATTTTAATATAATTTTTGCTGTTTCTGTTTTGTAATGAATACCCCCAAAATGTTAATTAAAATAAAATAAATACAAATATTCAGTTCTCCTTTTTTAATAATCTTGCCTTTATCTAGTGAAAGCAGGTGAAAAAGATTCAGGACCAAGCAAAATCCATGGTACTGAACAACTAGGTAAAACACCTGACTTAGCTTACAGAATTTCTGAGATACAATGCAGAGAATTGAGGGCTCGTTACAGTACCTTTTCTGGTGTACTTCACTGTCTTTAGTTTTGTTTAATGACTTCCTCTACACAGAATAAGACAGGGAGACCACTTATTTTCCAGCAGTATTAATAACACATAAGGGACCCAGAATTACTTCTGCACTGTCTCTACATAGGTGCTTCAATGGTTCCTTTTCGGAACAGTAATTGAATTTTGTTCAAAACGTAACAGTAGAAATGATAACAAAAATATTTTCTGCCTTTAAGCACATGAATTACATCCTAAGGTTTTCTGTGATGTATACTAATGCTAACAAATGTAAGGACTTGCATGCAATAACTGAGTCAGGAAGTTAGAAACTCTTAGACAGCTGCAGCCTCATCTGCCTGATACGAAGGCTAAACTTTCTGGGTATATACAGTTAGGAACAGGCCAGGAACAAGCTCAGAAGGTTCAAGATTTCATAAAAAATTGTATATGTAGGGATCTCAAATGTCTATCCTAGTAATAATGATTCCTTCAAATAAACATTTTTTCCTTCTTTTTTTTTTTCCCTTGAACTAATAGCATTTCAGTTTTGTTTGAGTTCAAGACAGTCTTCATGCAAATGGTGGATTCATGTTAGCACTTAAGAAGCTGTGAGTAGATGTATCTTTCTGATGCAAAAGACAGTCAGTAGGTAATCATTTGCATATTTGTGATACTTCAGATTACGTTATCTTACTAAATCTTCCAAAAGGCTCTTTGGACTTCATCTTAGAAGAAAGATACATAAAACTTTTTAGGGTCTTGCTTGATCCCTGTATCTTTGTTGAGGCATAAGAGCAGGGAAAGGTGATAAGCTATATTAAATGTTGAAGGCAGTTCATGAAGGCATGAATGTAATTTTTTAAACATGGAGATATATTCAGCACATGGGTGACTTTAAAGAGTATCTTGCAAAAGACAAGTAGACATTTATCAACAGTCTGTGAAGTCAAAAGAATATGGTAAAAAAGCATATTTCCATAATATTGCATAGATTTGATGCCATACTTCACAAGTACTTACTTAGCTAGAATTTTTCTGTGAAATACCAGAAACATGAATGATTTTACTGCATTTTACTGCATTAGATCTGGGCTTTCATAAACGTATTTTTTTCCTTCTATTTTCCTTCCACTTTATTGATGAGAACCACTGAGTCTTTTTAATTGGCTGGATTTCCCTTGCTGATGATTACCAAGTCAGTGTTAAAGATGATTAATACAATTTAATGGTAATTGCTCTCAACTAGAGACTAATCTCAGGCACAAAGACAGTCAGTTATCATGCATACCATCCTAAAACTAGTCTTTCAAATCAGAAACATGGTTCTATTCTAATGAAGACTAAAAACTAGCAGAGGCCAACAAAAAAATAATAATAATTTATTATTTCAGTTACAAATGGAATAATGATCTATCTCTTGTAGAAGTAGTTTTATACACCTTTTAAGTGGTTCCACTATGCCTTTACTGTCAAGAAAGAGTACATTTTATACTAATTAATTTAAAATAGTGATTTAAAATTCTATCACTTAGAATTAAAATGTCTCCATCACCTATTGTTTCTGTCAACCAGGTGTCATGTCACTTGCAGTATATATACCATAAAGCCATTAAAAATTAAGTTACATGACGTAAAACAATGTGTAAAAGTATATAACAAACATCTTTGTATTATCAACAGGTGCACTTTATATGGGCATTTTTAGTTACCTTCAATTGCACTCTACCGTAAAAGAGAAAAAAAGATGGAAGTGGCATTTACAGTCACAGTTCCACTCTAATCAGTGGCAGCAATAGAATAGCTGCAGGGTTTTCTCCCAGGGCGTATTATGGTTTGGCAGGCAGAGAAAGAACTATTTAAAGAACATTAAAATTTGTCTCTGGGAAATAATCTCTATTAAATCTTTCTTTACTTTAGAGAAACCAGTGGCAAACAGGTTTGTTTGTGATCTACCATGCCAGTAAAGAATGTGGGAACTTAAGAACTGCTGGACCAGATCAGAACAATGTATTTTCCAGCCTCATTTCTTATCCTGGTTTATTCAAATGATACTGTGGAAAAGCTCACATATAAGAAAATACAGTATAAACATAAGTCTTGCAGGCAGGTTTTTTGTTTCTTTTTTTTTACAACTAGCCATTGGCTTATGAATTTTTTTTTTTTTTTTAATTTTCAGAAGAATGTAGTTTTATTTTCCAGTGAAATCAAGCATCAAGAGTTAAATCATTCTACTTTAAGCCTATGAATCTTGTTTCAGAGTTTTTTCTTCAAAATATTGCTGAAGAAACACTAGGCTTAGATCACTTGTGGAAAATAACAGTGCTGAGGAAATGTCTGTCAGCTTGTTCAATACATATGTGCAACACTTGCTACTTCACCTACATTAGTATGAGTTTGGAACAGAACTTTTGTCTACTTGTTTTAAATAACATGTTTATCATTCATCGTCTGGCTACTTGTCAAGGAAATGTCATTTGCCAGATTAATAGTTTCATAGTCATGTCCCCATGTTCTTATACTAACATTATAATGAAATTCCTAAACCAAAATCAGCATATGTATTAACAGATTTTGCTTTATGACTGTCTTAATTTTATATGCACATAGAAAAAAATTTCCACATAAAAATCTCACTTAGAGATTTGACTAAAGGTTAATTTAACTTTCAGCAGGCATAATCTTATTGGAAACACATTTCCTCTTATAAATTTATCCCTCTACACATTTTTGACAGTTTAATGAAAGTATCAATGTTACACTTGAGGAACACTTTTTTGTGTGTGTCACATCAACACCTTTAAATTTCCTTTGAACTGAGAAAATCTTGCACCAAAGTGATGTCTAGCACTGAACTTTCAGGCCTGGACCATAGGTTATTGCTCTGTATGAAGACTTTTAGGTTTCAATGAGAATTCATTTGCTTTCTAACCATTAGCTGAAAGAGGAAAAATAATTACCTTTGATGTATACATATTGGTCAATAAATCTGCTTCTAATGCTTTCATTTCCTCTTCTGAATCTGGGAATAAACCAGTAACATATGTTTATTATTTCATCATAAATCATGGACATTTGAATTCAGCAAGCAAAATATAGATATATAAATGAGGTTTTTTGGGGAAAAAAAAACGAAACAGTAATAAAAGTGGATTCACAGCATTGTGTTCTAATGAGACTATAAGGAGGTTTTTGGTACCAAAAATTTATTTTGAAAGGGATATCCATCAAATTTCAAAGCATGATCAAGCTTATTGACATGAATGAAGGAATTCACTGTTCTCTCGTAGACAGGCCCATTAATTTTCAGCTGTTTCAGTACAAAAAATGGTGCAATTTTCTTCATCCAAAATCAGACTGATTTTCTTAATTACTACTTGTCACCTCTACTAACTAACATTTACTTAGCTGCTGTTTTTTGGGAGCAATTGCAAACATTCTCAACTTGGATCTTCAAGGTGTTTTTAAATGGTGACCGGCAAATTAATGCAAAGTCATTCTACTACAGTCTATTGGAGATAAGCCATTCCTCTGGTAACCCTGTGAACATTTCTTTGCTGAAGGGCTATGCTCAGATCTATTAGACTGTCTCTATCTCCAATCCAGTCTGCTCTCACACAGCAGCCATGTATTCCCCGAGTCATTAGAGTAATCATCTTCCGTGCCTGAGTACAGTGCAGTACAGCAAAGGAGAGATCAGAAGTCTCAGTTTTTAACCACCTTTATGCTTATCAATTGCTAAGGAAGTAGCTTTCTGGAACATTTTTGGCTTTTGCTTCTGTCGTATGTGAAAAATCATAGCATCTTCTAATACAAGTAAGGTAAAATAGTATCCCCAAGTTCTTTGTCTCCTCAGACATTTCTACCAGTTGTGATTCTGATAAAAGGAGTTTTTAATAGAAGTGAATATTATTTACTAAACAATCACTTTGCACAGTTGTACTGCTTCCATTTGTATTAAAGTCACCAAAAATGTCTGTGCCTTATGTCAGTCTTTCTCTGCAGTGATGCTGATGTTCAGCTTTGCATTACTAATATGCTACACTAACTGCTTTTACTTAAAATATTGATAAAGACTGGATGTCAGTACTGCAGCATGTCACTAGCAACTTCTCTATAGCTAAAGCCTTTCAGCCCTTTCAGCACTACCTGTATTCATCATTACCTAGTTTCTCAATAGCTTCACCAGTGATGAAGTCCTTTCTGCTGGCATCACATGTTCACCTGAATTTTGACTACTGATACTAACAGCTCTTGCAAAGGGATGAATAGCGCATGTGAGACAGCATCACAATTTGTTGTATTCTGGAGCAATGAAATGACTCACACCTGGTTAGGACCCTGTAAAAGCTATATAGAACAGAATATAGTTTCCCCACCACCAAGGCTGGAAGACAGATGCAGAAGTGGAAAGCTTGCTGAATAGATGGATATTAAGAAACATCTTTAATGAGAAAATATCTGGAGGATATTACTTAGGAAGCTGTTCGCACAGTGAAGAATGAAACAAAGCCTGGAGGAAAACGGAGCGTATTCAGATAATTCAGGAGTGAAAGAGACAGATGACGGGTAAAAGCAGAAAAAGAGCAAACACTCAAGAGAGCAATCTGATTACTGATTATTGTTCAAATCTGAGGAAAATCCAAACACTTTGCTGTCTTTTGTATGCTTACCTTATTATTGATAGGAAATATAGCTTCTTTCTGTATATCTACATTCTACAGAAATAGTTGTCTTCTATTAAAACACACTTTCCCCTGAGAGCAAACATTTTCAAAAGAAAATTGATCATTTTCCTAATGACTTACTTGTCCACATTAGCAAAAATTCATTTGGCTTTTCAACACAAACTTGTCTGTGACATTTCTCATTTAAATATAATTCCAAATTTTCAAGCAAATGAACCATCATGTCAGTTACACATACAATTCTGCTTCTTTTTTATACGAGTCTATTTTAATTTCCACTGGAATCTTTGACTTCAGTGGTTTATGAATTTTAAATTGTCTCACAGAAAATATTAGTCATGTTTTTGCTTAAAAATCTACATACATATGCAGAGAAAATAATAAACTTTTAGCCCTGTCCATAAGAACACCAGGTCTGTAAAGCACACAAAATGATTATGCTTAAGCCATGACAAAATACAAGTTTAAGTGTGTTACATTTTTCTTCTGTGGGGGAATGTATACCGGAAACTTGCATCCAAAACAAGGAATTCTGAATCCTCTTGGATACTGAAGCTAAAAAATTAATCTACTTGTAAACCTACTCTTTACATTTTAATGGAGTAACAAGTAACAGTAATTTGTACACTAGTGAGATTGGATTTTGAAGACTATTCTACTACACATCTGTCACAGTACACCTGTTTAATTGCATTTTTTTTTTTTTTTTTGTCATAAACTGATGATCTAAATAACACACACTTAGCTATTGTCACTTTCCAAACAAGCTGGCAGTGCATTTTCATGTATGACCCTATTTTTAAGGTATCTAAAGCAACTGATCTTAGAGCAGAAATGCACTTTCAGCTAGTATCCTATTGTGAGATCAGCATCTTTGTGACAAGCATTTTTTGTCATTTCAATGCAGTTGCTAGTGATTTTTTTTTTTTTTTTTTTCCCCAGAATCCTAAAACGGTACTTCAGTTACTAAAAAGTGACTACAGTACATATAAAGATAGTCATGCTGATTGGACTTTGATGGAAGGAAGAAGAAAACACACTATCTATGATACCTTGGAAATACCTGGGATTCAAATATCACAAATGTAGCAACATAATTAATGGGACAGCCTACATCGACGTTCCTCAATGACCACTCTACAGTTACACCATGGTAGTAGTGATGCTGCGGAGGGGAATGTTTTGCAGATAGGGAGTAAATTACGGGAGTGATGGAAAATGTGATGCTGGACAGAGCCCGCTCTGTGCGAGCCGGGAGCACCTGCAGAGCATAGCCGCGTCAGACCGAGCGCACCCCGCCCCGTTCGGTCCCGCTCGAGGCTGCGGGAGCGGCCGGCCGCGTGGTGCTGCACACCGCACGGAGGCTCGGGGCGCAGGGCGCGGCGGAGCTTACCTGAGCACAGGCTGCAGGAGGCCAAGGCCAGCAGCACCACGCACACCAGCTGGGGTCTCATCCTTGCCGCGCCACTCTCTAGAAAGTAAAGTCCATAAATCCTGGGGAGAGACGGAGAGAGAGACAGACAGACACACAGAGAGAGCTCCGCTGCTTCGCGCCTCGGCACACACAGTGGCGGGCGGCCGCAGGCACCAGATGGTGGACCCGGACCCTTCCCCAACTATATAAGCCTCGGGGTGATGTCACGGCGGTGCCGCCATCGCCTCATGGTGAAGAGCCCTCCCTCCTCCCCCTCGCCCCCCCCCGGCGGGGCCCCCCCCCCCCGGCGTCTGTCCCCCCCGCTCCCGCTGCCCCCCTCCGCCGCTCCGCACCCTCCGCCGCTGACGCCACCTCCCGCCTGACGCACGCGGAGCCCCGCGGGGCGCGCAGCCGGGCGCGCAGCATCCCCACTCCCACCCACGCGCCCGACTGCTCGTATCCCGGCAGCGACCCGCCCGCTGAGCTCGAAAAGCTCCCATCTACAGATATGATAATTATTTATGAAAAGAAAAAGTTTCCGCAGTTTCTCGGACACCTGCGCGTGCGATGCGCCGGGTCACGGGTTGCGCCGAGACGCGAGCACCTCGTGCGGCCGTCGTGGGATGTGCTTTGTCGTCTGGTTTGGCTTTCCCTGCAGCGTGGGGCAACACGGGGGAGACAACGGATAATAGAAACAAATGAAGTCTGTGTGAGAGAGAGAGATAACGAGAAAGTCACTTGATAAAGGTTTTTCATAGGTGCAAAGAAGTGCTAACGTCCGCCACAACCAGACTACCCCTTCCGAAAAGAGAAACAACAGCTATTGTTTCAAGGAGAGTAAGCGCTCCGTCAAGACGTTTATCCAAAGGTGTAGGTGTTCTGCTTGAATTTCACGACATTGGTAAGACAACCCACTAAGAGGGGACTCTGCAGACAGCGCCCGGAACGCACGAGCGCAAAAGCCGCGGGGCACCGCGGGACGAAGCGGAGACAGCAAGGAGCGGACGGCGCTGCCCCAGGACGGGCGAAGTGGCAGCGAGGGAAGGGGGGCTGCCACTAACTGTCCCGGTCTGTCCTGTGCTTCCTAGAGACCGGCCGTAAAAAAAAATAAAAGGCACGGAAATTGTCTGAAATAGACGGTAGGGCAGGTTAACCTTTAACGTGGAGTGTGCAAATGAGAAGCTGAAGACTAGCATCAGCCTCCATCGCGGCGTTGCTCGTAGCATGATTTGTCTCAGATACGGAGAAATGCTCCATCTGTTGAATGGAGATATTACACTGCAGAACATTTTGGTCTCTGAATGCATTTAAGGACAGATGTACATGCCACATATAGCAGGAATGCACTCTGGTAGAATTCTGCTAGCACTAATGTTCTCTTCACTATAGAAAGTTTCCTTTGAAATTCAATGGTGATGGGTGCCTCTGTCCTTGTCTACCTTCTATTCCTGTCTGTGCCATGAAACAGATACCTCGTTAACAGAAAACCTGCAGAAATTTCAAAACCCTGCTGCAGAGAACACCTGGTGAGAAGAGTTCAATTAACTGAATTCCTTCTTCCCTGAATCAACTTTTGTAACAGGATAAAATTTAAATTTGTAAGCTATTTTGGGTTGTAGATGCTTAAATGCATGCAAAAATACAGCTGAGTGCATTCCAGTGGTATTAGCTCTGTTTGTGTGTACTGGTGGGAACACATTTTCTGCCTTACTAAGAAGGAAACAGAAAGAAGGAAAAAAGGGAAGGGAAGGGAAGGGAAGGGAAGGGAAGGGAAGGGAAGGGAAGGGAGAAAGGAAAAATTTATCACATTGTGTGGGCTATACTAGTCTGCCAGAAAGTTTCAGCTACAGCTCATCTGCCTTAGCATGGGGGTTAGATGGCCACTCATATTCCCCTCCAGTCCCATTTTCTATTATTTCCGTGATGTAGAAAGACCAATCTGCAGCTGATTTTGCTCTGTGGGTGTTCTGCAGTTCAGGCAGCTCTATGAATGAGAATCATATTTCATAGGTATTTTCTAGTGCCTACTCTCTGTCACAGATTTCCTCAATAGTGTAATTGCCCATATTCTTATGTAACTGGAATTTATAGGAATGACGTTTTATTTTTTTCCTCAGGAAGAGAGTAATTGCCAGTTTTCCTGCCATTAAAAAAATCACCTAATTGCTTTAAAATAAAAATAATAACCCTGGAATTCTAATATTCGTGCATCTTAGGAAATGACTGTATGTTATGTTATGAGCCATAATATTTCTTATAATTGTTCTGTTTTCACCTGTTTAGTTGTTGTTATTTTGTTGTTGTTGTTTGTTTTGTTTTTCCCAAGAGAAATGTAAAAGCAGAAACTTCAGTATTAAAAGTCTTTGCTTTCTCATCACGTTGAATGTTCTTCACACATTATCTTCAGATGCCCTGGATCAGGCATAACTGAGTTTGGACAATTACATTTTTTTTTTTCCCAATAGAACTAAACTATCTTCTATTTCCCAGATGTTCCTGTGATTGCTTTTTCTAACTCTTTTCTACATCTGTAGCTCCTTCTATTCCTTGCATGCTAGTACTTTTAAGCCTTTTAAAAATGAATGCCTTAAATCACCTTGTTTTCTGCAAGGTGAGAAAGAGCCTTGTTTTCTTGCAAAGGATTATCCCAGAAAAACTTTTATAAGGAAAACAAATTCTTAGACCTCTTTCTATCCCTCTTTCTTCTTAAGTATTTCTCAGCTAGAGAAAACATGTATAGCTCTTCATTAACGTTAGTCCACTTGGGAATCATTTTATCTGCTTGCCCTCAACATGATTTTAACAGTCTATCCAGGCCCACAAATCATCTCCATTCACAACTGTGCGACATCTGAAGATAGTGAAACTATTAGGCAAATGGTAGATTCATTAAAGAACAGATATCTTTACTTCATCACTGGAACAAAAAAAAATACCATCTCTACATGTGGATGACACCTAACACAAAAACTGTACACACCAGAAAGGAGAGAACCACTCTGCCATAGGAAATACTGGAAACTATAATATGGTAAAGTCATTGTTTCCAGTTAGCAGTTTTATGCCTTAGAAACAAAAATAAGCACAGTGAGAATAAATGAGATCCAATTCAGGCTGTTTGTATTTTGATATTAAATTATTAAATTGTCTGAGATTTTTGTGTTCATGTGTGGTTTTTGTTTGGGGGAGAGGAATGTTGTATCCAAACCTTCAGGAGATGTAACAAGTATGGAACTAGAAGATGAATCATTCAAGATTCATTCACCTAGGAATTATTTCACAAGTTTTTAAACAGCGCACTGGCTCAAGATGCTAGTTCATCATATCAAATTCAAATTTAGTTGATTTAGGCTGCTTTGCCCCTGCAGCAGTTTGGCTACCAGCAGTTTAAGTTAATTTTCTTGATATAAAACTGGAAACATTAATTTCTGTCATGTCAGCTCAAGAAAAGTAGAGAACATCTGAAGTATAAAGCAGACAGTGCAGATGAGTTTCTCAGGTAGTTTAAGTCTGCAGCATCACTTTCTTTGTCACAAAATATGTCTAGGGTTTTTCATTCAGTTTAGTCAGGACAGTGATGCTCAAATTTTAGTGCTGTGTTCAAACGCTGAAAGTCTTAAGACTCTGGAGACCATCTGTGCTGCTGCTGACAGTATCATAAAAAAACTCGGAAGTAAGGGAAGACATTTCACAAACTGGATCATTCCTAAGTAAATAAAAAATTAAGCATCCCCTCCATTCTAAACTCCATCTCCTTTACGCATTCTGTCATATGATATTTGAAATTTGTGAGATTGTGCACTTTAAGGAAACATTGAAGATCCAACAGAATGATACTGAAATTTACTGTTGTAGGAAACAAAAAACAAAACAAAACAAAAAAAACCTAAAAGCAATCATCTGAATCAGATTTTTTTTTTTAATACACAGCAAATCTACGACACATTTTTCAATGAGCTGCAAATCAGCACAGATTTATATACATCTAATGGCTAATTTCTTTAAGTTTTAAAGTTCCAGTGTCTGAAGCTGTGAAAGAGGCAGTGAAAGAGGCACTCTTGTGCAGCCTCTGCATCTGAGGACTACATGTCTGGCAAGGTTTTTATTCGTGATACTTTGACACTTCAAATAGCAACAACATCTTAGTACCCCAAAGGCCCACAGTTCTCCAATCACAGAATATTTAGGTGTTATCATCTCAATAGAATGATCTAAAGTCTCATTTTTTCTTTTCTTTTATTTTTTTTTTTATTTTAAACATAGGCATTACATTTTTGAGACATTGAGATTCCCTAATCCTTCTGCTGGCAAAATAGATTCTGTCTATATGACTGTAAAGCAAGTATGGAACGTATGCAGCTATATATATGTGCAGTTAAAACTATTATGAGCTGCCAAATTGTGAACCTTTCAGTCATATGTATGTGTAAATGTTTGGGCATTGTTTAGGAAAAGTTTTGGATAAAATAGGCTGGAAGAAAACTATCTTCCCTCCTACTCCTACTTTCCATTTTTTTTCTTTTACTGGTATCTTCATACTAGCGAGCAGTGCAGTTTAGAAGTGCCACCACAGTGTGTCATGGGAGTTATGCTTTGGACACCTCCTGCTTACTTTCACCTCTCAGCAGTGCATCCCCAGGCCAGACTGCATCTTTGTTATTTCTTGATTATATATTTTCTCCAAATAGCCAACTTAATCAATTTTTCATTTGTCTCCAGTGAACCATGAATATTTTAATGCAACTTTCAGCATGTAATATATACAATGGACATGGGTGAACAGCGTGATGTAACTCTATTGAAGACTGCGTATTTGTGTGATTCCCTGTTTATCAGGGTGATTCTGCTTGAAAATTTTGTGCTAAATTGAAGGAGTGAAATGAAATTGATCTGAATTCAGAAGCGTGACTGCCTTTTTCCAACAGTATTTTGATTTTGTCAACAATTGTTCCTCAGTTTTCCCTTGAACATGGCAACCAAATATATATGTAGTATTCATTGTTATATTGCACTTACATAATGTAGGCAGGAATTGGACCCTGCACTGTGAAATTATTGAAATTATTCTATTTTGCCTCTTAGGCCACCTTCACAAATTTCTTAAATAATCGCACTCTTTCCTTGTTCCCAAGAGACAGTTTCAATTTAACTAGTTACTTAGAAATCATACAGCCACGAAAGTACCTTGTGTTAAAAATGCAGAGGAATATTTCCTTTGTGCACAGTAGAGAAGCAACATGTTATTATTGCTGTAAATCAGTGAGATACCTTTGATTTAGCATGATACGGGTTCCTCACCAGGAGACTGTAACAGGTTTCCTAACTATCAGTAACCTTTCAGTTTTCATAAGAAGAAGCCTCAGGAGTCACTGACTGTAGCATGACTGACTACAGTCTGCTGCAGCATGAGAAAAAACAATCATGACCTCGTTATGTAGAAGTGTTTCTTGTATTTGCTTATTATTTTTACTTATCTTCCTTTTTCAGAAAACTTCATTAAACAGGGTAAAAGAACTATTTTTACTTAAATTTATTATTCATATACAAGGTGCTTGGTATCACCATTTATGTGTAAATCATTTT